GTTTAAAAAATAAGCCCGCAGTTAAACACTTGCTTTACATCATTTGTACAACCAAATAAAATGCTATAGAATTTTAAAACTATGGAGCATCACAACAATTAATGTAAATGTTTTCACTATAAAAATAGAAACATATACTAAATCAGCAAATTTCTTTTAAGGCTTCAAGCACATTTAAATAGGTCATGAGATTTCTAAAAATTAAGAGACATATTCTTTAGCATTTATGGAGTACCTTTTATCTACAAATTGCTTTGCAATCTCCAGAAGAATAGCAACATTTCAGAAAAGCAACCAACAGTCTTCTTATATGAAAATTTACAGCAGGAAAATCAGGGAAAGCATTAGACCTTTTTTCGCAAAACTCTATTAATTCTATTAACGGGCTTCAAAGAACAGAAAGGCACATTCGCCCTTCCAAAGTTTCAAAATTAAAAATAAACCTCTTGGCTTAAAGTATGTCCAGTCAATGCCATTTGATAACCCAGCCTTTACAAAGTATCTGGTTTTATAAAGATCAATATCATAAAATGAACACTCTTGCAATACTAATAAGGACCTATTGCTTTCCAATATAGCACACGATGGTAGCAAAGCTATTAAAAAATCTTGGTACACATTCCAATTTATTTACAGCAACTAGAAAAGTCACATAAAAAGTAAATTGAAAGAATTTTGGGTCAGAAAACTTATAATTCAGCTCCAGCCCTTATACCACCCCCAGTGTGGCATTAACTACTCTGAAAACCAAATGAGGTACTGCACATGAAAATGATACAGAATCTATAAATTGCACATATATAGTTTCTTAAGATGAACTCTAAGTTCCTTTCACTCTATTATATATCCGGACCCTGAAACGCAAAGTTCAAATAGGCAAAACATTGGTGGGTGGCAGTTGTGTAACCAGGCCAGACAACAGTAATTATCGCAGTGCTGGTGGAGTAGTCGGACAGAGTCCAAAGAATGTTAATCAAAGGAAACGGGCAGTCGCTACTTTTTGGGGTTGTCTGCCCAAAACTTTCTCAGTAAGAGTATCCTCTAATCCTACAGAAAAGTCCACTTTCAGCATTTGTACTAAATGAATCCACCCTTGGGAACTGAGGTGATGGGACCAGGGGTAATGAATGACCCAGACAGGCCTATCAGATACTCTCTTCAGAGAATATAGAATTGAAACTGAAAAACAAATTTCAGGCATGTAGCTGAAGCTAAAGGGCATGTAAGTGCAGAACCTGGAGGACAAAAAAAGGGAAAAGCAGGGAGGAAAGGAAGGAAGAAGCAGAGGGAGCTGTGGAGAAATGAATGAAATATGATAAATAATAATCAAGATAGGAATATTATTCAGCAATGTTAATGAAGTACTAATACATGCCATAACACATATAAACCTTGAAAACAGGATGTCCAGAGAAACAAGCCAGATATAAAGGATCACATATTATATGATTCCACTTATATAAATGTCCAGATTAGGCAAATCTACACAGGCAAAAAGATAAGTGGATGTTGGTGAACCTATCAAGCTCTAATGGATAGTTCCAAACCCATGGTCACATACTTGGTCTTGGTTAAACTTCAGTGGGCTATAAAACAAAATAAAAAGATATGAATGTTGAAAAGGAGTTTTTAAGAAGGGAGTAAGAGAGGGTGGGTGAGAATAAACAGAAGGAATGATATATATATATATATCATTTCATATATATATATATATATGAAATTGACAAAGAACAAATTTTTAAAATCTATTGTAAAAAATGCTTGGTGGTTGACTACAGCTGGGATGGACAAAGAGGACAGCTAAAAGGTTCCTTTGTGGAATCATCAGTGTTCTAAAGTGAATGCAGTAATAGTTTACAAACTGTGGAGACACAAAATTATTACTGTACACTTTAAATAAGTGTGAATTATAGCTCTATAACATTTTAAAATACACAGAACCAGACTGACTCTTTTTTTGGCAAGCACTTTTTGTGACTAAAAAGTATGTAATTAGTCACCTTGTAGATTGCCTGAGAGTGCTTGAATCCAGACCCCGTGGCATGGTGAGCTTCCAAAATTACACCATGCCCATGCCCCTACATTGAGACCAGGTGTGACCCCTACCACTGCTCCAGGGCTAGACTTCTCTGCCCTTTAGTAGGAGCCCAGACTTTGCAGACTGTCTGAGAATGCCTGGATCTGTCTTCCACATGGTGGTGAGCTTCCCAAATCACACCCCACTACACTGGGACGTGTGGCCCCTCCCACCACCCTAGGGCTAGGTTTCTCCGCCCTTTAGTAATGGCAGACCTTTGCAGACTGTCCAAGAGCGCCTAAATCAGGCCTCCCCTTAGTGAGCTCCCCAAATTGTGCTGTGACTGCTCATTAGTAGGGGCCCAGGCTAAAATGAAGGACACAAAAAACTCAGTAAGTCAATTTGAAACAACAAGAAAGCATCACCCATAGAATGAATGAAATGGAAAACAGAATATCAAGACTGGATGACAAAGTTGAAGAATTGGACCACTCAAGCAAAGATTATGAATTTTTTTAAAACACAGGAATGGAATATGCAGGAAATGTGGGACACCATGAAAAGACTAAATTTACGCATCATAGGTATAAAGGAAGGAGAAGAATTTCAGGTTAATGGTATTGGGCAGATCTTAAACAGGATTGTAGAAGAAAATTTCCCAAAATTAAGGAAAAGACATGCCCATGCAAATATAAGAAGCACACAGAACACCAAATAGACAGGACCAGAAACGAAACTCCCCAAGGCCTATCATAGTAAAAACACTAAATGTATAGAACAAAGAGAATACTGAAAGCTGCAAAAGAAAAACAACATGTCACATATAAAGGAATCAGAATCACAACTAACTTATCACTGCAAACTATGAAAGGCAGAAGAGCCTAAACCAAAGTATTCCCAGTTCTAAATTACCATAGATGCCAACCCAGAATACTTTACCAAGCAAAAATGTCTATTATAGTGGAAGGGGAAAGAAAAATCTTCCATGACACAAACAGGCCGAAAGAATACATGTCCACAAAACCAGCCCTTCAGAGAATATGTAAAGAAATACAAAGAGCTGAAGAAAGGAACAACTATGCTCAAGGAACAACAGAAAGAAACTAAATAAAGGTATACTTGTGGAAACACAATATTAGACCAAGAATGCAGCTGATTATTGCTGGGTGAGAAGGACCTGATCTTCTTAAAGGGAGGGACTCTAGATAGGCTGACTAGACCTCAGTGGATGGACTTGCACTGAGGGTTGTCTGGGGATACTAACTTGACACGATAGGTCTTAACACAAATTACAGAATGTATGAAATCCAGTGGGGCGGGGGGCATGGACAGGTGCCAATGGGGAAGGGAATATAAAGTTGAGACATTCTTTATTATACACATAAAAAATGTAATATTTTTTTTTATTTTTATTTTATGTGTATGAGTGTACTGTCTGCATGTGTGTAAGTGCACCTGTGTTGTGTAATACCCACAGAGGTCAGAAGAAGGTGTTGGATCCCCTAGAACTGGAGTTATGGACGGTTGTTAGCTGCCATGTGGGTGCTGGGAATTGAACCCAGGTCCTCTGCAAGAGTAGTCAGTGCTCTTTACCACTGAGCCATCTGTACAGCAATCCCCCCCAAAAAAAATTTCAAGTATATAATTAAGGCTGAAGAGATGGCACAATAGGTAAAGTGTTTGCTATACAAGTGTGAAGATCAGAGTTTAGATCCCTAGCACCCATACAAAAAGCAGGCATGGGACCAGCAAGAAGGTTCAGTGAGTAAAAGCACTTGCTGCACAATTCTGATAGCCTGAATTTGATTCCCAGACCCAAGGTGGAAGGAGATAACAGACTGCTGAAAACTGTCATCTGACCTCCACAAACATGATGTGGCATACACACTCACAAGCCTGATAGCCCAAGTTCAATTTCCAGAACCCACACAGGAAGGAGAACTGACTCCTGAAAGTTGTTCTCTGACCTGAACACACACACATATCCACACTCATACATATACAATAATAAATAACATAAAAATATTTTAAAGCAAGCATGGTGCTACGCCCTAGTAATCCCAGTGCTGAGGGGTGGGGTGCTGAGCACCAACCAGTCAATCTAGCCAAAACAGCAAGCTCCAGGTTCAGTGAGAGGCCCTATTTCAAAAAATAAGGTGGACAGTGATAGAGGAAGACAACTGAAGTCAACCTCCAGCCTCCATATGTGCATACACATACACACTAAAAAAGGACATAATTAATGTACCCTTTAAGAGGAAAGAGCTAGGATACTAACCCCTTTGGTTCTCGTCCTTCTTTAAGGAATACTTTTAACATCAATTTCAAGAGCCCCTGGTTTGAATACAAACCTCTGCAAATTTCTGCATTTCTGAAGCAACTCTTTGTACTGTTGTAAAACAAATGTTAAATTCCTGAATTATGGAAGGATACAAACTGTTGAAATCCAAGAGTAAGACGAACTTGTCATAAAAACCTGAAATAAAAAAGGCCATATAATGTCATAAGACATCTAAAGAAAGTACCATAAAATTTCATATTAGAAGTACTATGCTTGCTATACTAAGAAATATAGAAAATACATACTATCCAGCACAGTGAAGCAGATAAAATTGAAAAAAAAAGGTCAACTAGGACTCCTTAAAATGACTTGGATTACAGCAAAAACCCAGATCACAAAAGAACAGGGCGAAAAGATTCAGCTTAAACCAGTCCATTCACCAGCAGTCCCAAAGCATGCCATTATTATGTAGAAACACTATCCCTTGTCAATTATTTTAGAAAGGTAGCATACCAATTTCAAAAACCTACAATTAAACTCCCCTTCAAGCAAACATTTTTTCCCACTACTCTCCCATCCACAACCCAAATAAAAACTCAGTGAGTAATTATAAACTTTTTTTTACAACCACACCTTCAATAAAATTGGCGGCCCAGTTACCCGTGCAAGAACTATGCTTAAGATCAGACAAGATATAGATATATATGTCAGTAGTGGAACGATCCACCCTTTCTACTCACAAAGGGTAAACAGAAAGCTACTATATTTCTCTAGGACATTTACAGAAAGTTATCTTCATCTTCAGAAGAAACTGACTCAAAATAAATGTCCAGAGACAGCAGCACCTGCAAACATAATATTGTCAGCTTACTCTCCATCACTAAACCACACAATCCCACTTACTCCTTATGTTCCTCTGTAGTAGGCAGCATTATCTCCTTTCTATATAAGAGGAAACTGAGGCTTAAAGAAATTAAACAGCCAGCTCAAGATTACATAGGCAGCACTCAAGTCAACATTTAACAGCAGAAATGCTACAATTTCATGACATTTAACTAATAAAATTGCTTTTGTCAAAACGTCTCCTACTGTGTTACTTGATAAAATTAACATTAATTTCTGTATAACAATGTGAATACACTTAGTTCTACTATTGAATTATATACACATGGAAACAGTTAAGAGGTTGTTTCTTTAAAAAAAGAGACCCTTTCTACCACTGTATATCATAAACCATCTTTCCCTTCTAGACAACAAAGAAAAATTACTCTCTTCTTAAATGTCAGTTTAGTAGCTATTTTACTTGCTTTAACTTTGCTGCCCAAACGACCTGGTCCTAGAACCCTGGCAAAAGGCTAAGGCCACCCTCACAGGAAGACAGAAAGAGACAGTGGTGTTTCTAACATATGACAAAGAGCCACCTCTATCCAAGACCAGGGACTGAAATTCTGGGTGCAGATCAAACCTAAGCCACTGCTTGGTTTTGTATTCCCTATAAGCTACGTGCTTTCTACATAGTTACAAAAAGAAAAATGCATCTCAAGATATATGAAATTTAAATTTTTGCCTATAAATAAAACTATATTGATATACAGCAAAGAATCCATATTGATTTGTTAATTAGCTGGTAAACAAGATTTAATATGCATAAAATACAAAGCTAAGGTCATTAGGAAATCTATTTGCTGACCTCCAATGTAGTTAAATCTAAGGTCCAGTTTCTTGAGCCTAGCTCTACATGAAGATATTTCTTAACAACAGGGACAAACAAATCTGCTGCCCAGCCTTACCAACTTTGGGATCCAAAACCAAGCCTCCAGCATAAGCTGCTTTCTTTCGTCCTTTCTTGTATTTATTAGTATCCCCATCAATTTCCTCATCTTCTCCCTAATTTCAAATGGAAAGATAACATCACCAGCTAGCAACTAATTAATGAACTGTAATACTAGGTTATAAAAAATGTTATTTACTTTGTGGTGCTATCTATGGAGAAAGACTAGTACTATATATAATTATGTTCATAAATACAAATGCCAAACACAGTAGTTTCTTAAGCAAATATCATGTTTCTAAACTATATTTAAATGTTTCTGAAATCATAGAAATTTCACTTCGGGACTGGGGATGTAGCTCAGTTGATAAAGGTGCCTGCCCAGCACTTACAAAATTCTAGGTTCAGTTACCAGCACCACATAAAACTACCATAGTGGTGCACACCTGTAGTCTCAATACTTGGAAGGTAGAGACAGGAGGCTCATAAGTTCATCCTTAGTTAAACAGCAAGTTAAGAGGCCAACCTGAGTTACATTAAACCATGTCTCAAACAAACAAAAAAACAAAACAAGAAAAAGAAACTTTCATTTTGAAATCAGTATTACAAGTTTTCGTGTCATATACATTTTGAGATTGTAAAGAAGTTTTATTATTCTATTATTCATGATGAAAAAGTACAGAATATTTCATTCATCCATTATAGTTACTCTCATTATTATTACTTTTTGAGGTGGGGTCTTACTACATTGCCCAAGCTGGCCTCAACCTCCTGGGCTGATAAAATCCTCTTGCCTCAATCTCTCAAGTAACTGGGACTACAGCAAGTACCATATGATGGGTTCATGTCATGATTAGTATGGACACCTTAAAATAAGTATGTCTATATACTAAAAATTCATTCTCAAGTAGTTTGCTAACAGCCAAAATTCAGGACCTCTGCGGAAGATCTAAATTAATATTTGCTGTACCAATTCTGATAATGTGCAGGAAACAAAACACAAGAACTTGAATCACACTTCTACATTCAGTTCCATTCTCAATAATTATCAGTGCTGATAAAACAAAAACTAAGCTAAGTTTTCATGCCAATATCACAGAGGCCAATTCAGAAACATGATTGTGGTGGCCATAATCATACCAGTACAGGTTGAGTATTCCCAATCTCAAAATTTTAAATACAAAGTCTGAAACTTCTTGAGTACCAACATAACGCTATAAGCAGAAATGGCCACACATGACCACATGCAACAGATGTGCTAAAATATTGTATAAAATTACCTTCAGGTCATACACACACACACACACACACACACACACACACACGAGACATAAATGAATTTTGTGTTTAGACATAGATTCCATCTCTAAGAGTCCTCATTACATATATGCAAATATTCCAAATTAAAAAAAAACACCTAAATCTGAAACACTTTCAGTCACTAGCATTTTGGATTAGGGACACGCAACATGTACAGAAATATGCAATGCAAAAATAAAGGCTCGAAGGTTAAGGGGACAAAAGGTTTAATTAATATTTAGCTCTGGATAAGTCTTAGGGGACAAAATACTTTCCATATATAGTTCCTCAAAGACATCTAACAAGGCCCTCAAAGAATATATTTCACAAATAATTTGCCTGTACAGAGAAAAGGGGAGAGGGAAACAACCACACAAATACAGTGGAGCAAACTTGACATGGTTCCTAGTCTACAGGGGATTGATCCATTATTCTGAAAGCAGATGTGAGAGCAAAAAAAAGAAGTTATCTCAGTAATAAAAGAGGGACAAGAAAAAGAAAAATATTATACAATTTTGGACCCACCAGTTTTTGCTGAGGTTTTCTGAAAATCTGCTTGTCAGGCACAATATAGTTGTTTTCATAAAATGCATGAAGCAACAAGAACTCGTTTCGTTCAGATCGTCCACCCATCAGTGTCCTGGACTAGTAAAGAGAATTTCAATTTAACATTTAAGTTCAAAACTACCACAAAAAAGCAACTTTGAATCCATTAATTTAATCATGGCACTTCCTTTAAGACTACTTGTAATAATAAAGGCTGCTTTTACTAAATTATTTCTAACATTCTAAGCATTATAGGTTAAAGGAGACAAAAAAGCTTAAAATACTGATAACTTGACTATTTTCTTATTCCCAAATGGACCACTCTAACAAAAACATCCAGATGTTAGAGATGCTCCTTATGTTCACCCAAATTTCCACATACTGCACCTGGCAGAACTCCCTTTTCCCAGCTAGTTGTTCCTTTTTACAAAAGAAGCTCCACTTTCAGATTCCAAGTCTCTCATTTTATAAGCATGCATTTAAGACTCATTATCATATAACAACTACCCCAAGCAAACACTGAATCCAACAGGAAATGCTTTTTCCCCCTTTCTGTTAAATTTACCATAATGTTCCCAGCAATGTTAGTGATCTGCAATGCTAATGGAAGAACATTTAGCTCACACATGATCTGCAAAATGAACCTGGCATCTTTCCAGGTGTGCTCCAACAGGTACAACAGATGAGACGATTCACTGTACAGAAAAGTAAGAATGAAACAGAATCAAGTAATTAAAAGAAACAATGACTATAATCAGAACTTCACAAAATATTACAAGAAATTTTTCATATAAGTTAACTTCAAAGCAATGGTACCTGGCTTTGGAAACAATTTAAAATAAGGTTGGTATATAATTAGGAATGCAATCATACCATCGATCCCAGTGCCCTTCTCTAAAACAAACAAGTCTATAAAGTGAAATTATGAGTTAACTCTAACAGAAAAACTACCTAAATTGTTTCATTCATTCAACCAAGTAAGTGTATATTACATGCCTTCTATGCATCAGGCTGTGACCAAAGACCAATACCTGTCCTCATGGAGCTTCTGTCCTCATGGGGGAGACAGAGTATAAAAAAGAAAAATATATAAAATACATAGTATATTATATAATGCTAAGTGTTAAGGAGAAAAAGCTAAGAAGCAAAGAAAATATAAACTATCAGGAGCAGAAACTGAATTTTTACTTGGGGATCTGGGGAAAACTTTACTGAAAATAAGGACCAAGAAGAGGCAACAGAGGAAGTCTTATAGATGGGTACTTAGGAAAAGCATTTCGGGTAGCCAGAAGAGCATAAAGACTCTGAGTGGGGCACCAATCTGGCAGTTCCAGGACCTAAGAGGACATCAGTATGGCTGGATCAGAGAATGTTAGAGAGCAGCAGGGTAAACACAAAACTAACAGCACAGAGACACATTTTCAGGACCTTGTAAGCTAAAATAGGGACTTTTTTTTAACATCAAGTAAAACAGAATCACTGGAAGATTTTGATCAGGAAATTTTAGTAGGATTACTCTGGTTCTGTATTGTAAACCAGACCTCAAGAGGGCAAAAAAATTAGTACATAAACCCAGTGCTGCGGTTTGACATTTTGTTGATCCTGAAACTGAGGAGTTCAGTTTAATTCCCATTTAAAGTACTATGAGGGTGAAAAGTTAAATATGAAGGTACTTAAAGGTAAGGCTTTTAAGCCTCCATGAATGAATACTGGAGGATTTATGAGACCAGAAGATATACACATGAAGGTACTTTGTCACGTTACCAGGTGATGCCCTGCACCACCTAAGGACTCTGTCAGCAAGGTTATTACCAGATAAGACCTGTCAATCTTGGACCTCCAGAACTATATTCCAAAATAGAACTGTCTTTTTATCTTATCTAGTATGTACTATTGTGTTAGTATCAATAGAAAATGGACACATTCCTCAACTCTCACCAGCAAAGCTTCCTCATACAACAGAGTGAGATGCACACAGAAAGCCACAACTGGCCAAGTTTTAAAGAACAAAAGACTGCAGAGTGCATGTCCTTGGATAGGACTCCTATAATTAAACCTCACCTACCCATGGCTCAAGAACCATTGCAAAAGAGACAGAAAGAGTCTAAGAGCCAGAGTTAGTGCACGAACATTAACAGAGGTTTTCAGGTCTGTGAGAACTTGCTCATATGAACTTGCAACAACGATGACAGCATGCACAAGACCCATGCCAATTC